CACCCCCCCACCCACCCAGCCACTTTGTATTAGAATGCATGTTGCAGCAGAAGCTGTCCTGGGCTGGGCCTTGTTTCCATTCCTGCAAATTAGTCCTTTATATCCACAGTTAAACCACTTCACTCTAACTGGGTTTTCTTATCAGCAAAATATAGATTCCCTTTACCTCACAGGTGGTCTGGAAATTAGACGTTACAGCGCCTTAACCATTACACAGTCTCAGCAGTCGGTTCACAAAAGGTGGATATTATTAAAGATGCCAAACCAAGAATTCCAAAATTACTTGAGAAATTCTAGTCCTGTTTAGAAATCATTCAATTTTATTTTTGATCATTCAAAGCAACTTATAGCTTAACTAACACTTTATATATTGAAAAGCAGTGATGAATTTTTCATCCAAATACTTATTAGACCCCACTATGACTCAGGACCACACCCAGCTCAGGAGCCCTGGTGTGATCAGGTGGACAGAAGACCTTCCCTGTGGCAGGGCTAGGCTGCCACACTGCTGAGTCACAGGAAAGCAGGAGAGGTTCTGAGCTCCTTCAAAGTCAGAAACAAAGCAGTTTGCTGAATGTATATATGTTGTGTACAGAAACAAGGAAGACATTTAGGATCTGAGCCTTGCCCAGTGGGAGGAAATGTCAGCTTTCACACAAACACAGAGGTCTTTTGGGGAAGGTAAGGACACTTTACCTATCTTTGAATCAGCTCCTGTCAATTCAGCAGATGGAAACGTAACTTGGGAGCTCACAGAGGTCTTAAGCTAAGGGGATAATATTTCTCTCGAGAGGTCGCTGTGGACTTCAAAGACTTCTCTTTAATATCCACATCAGAGGTTGATAATGTGATGCACTACGTTTCTCAACATGCCCCCACTGAAGCTTCATGCAGCAGGCTGGGAGGACCAAGAGAAGGGTCAAACAGACCAGGCACCAAAGGGAGCATCCTGGCTGCTACTGAAGTAACAGTAATTACAGTTGTTACCACGAGTGCCTACAGTAAACTACACCCCAGGAGACAGCCACAGAATCATCTACACAGCGCCTATAGTAAACTACACTCCAGCAGATATCCACAGAATTGTCTATACAGAGCTTACAGTAAACTACACCCCAGCAAACATCCATAGAACCGTCTACACAGCACCTACAGTAAACTACACCCCAGCAGACAGACACAGAATCGTCTACATACTGCTACAAGATCAAGTCTTTATTAAAAGACTGCAGACATTACACTATTAAGGGTGAAAAACAGTACCGTGATAAATGCCAAAGTGGGAGAAGATTAAGCAGAACACTAGGAAAGCCCAAACATTTGAAACATGTTTTTCTATTAACTACTTTTAAAGAAACTACAAACATCTAATGTGTCTTAGCATCTGTGTGTTTATTGGGCTGTTTTTTTCTTGGGTGGGGGCTTTTTTCTGTTTTGTACTATTCTTGTTTGTTTTATGTTTTATTCTTATCATCACGTCTGTATTTTTGTAGATGCTGGTTTGTAATGAGAGAAAAAGAAAGGGTATGGATTTGGGTGGATGGGGAAGTAGGAATAATCTGGGAGGAGTTAAGGGAGGAATATACTATATGAAAAAAACCTATTTTCAAAAAAGGCTTGTAAAAGTTAAAAATCTAATCAAAGGGTTGCTTTCTTTTTGCTCAATGGCTCTGTAATTTATAACTTTTAAAATTAAAATTAAGAAAACAAAGCTAACCTAAAAGGCCACGTGAACTGCATCTGTCTAAATGCTCATGGCCCTAGCGGTTATCTGCCGTGCTTCATTTTATCATTTTGTACAGTTCCTTCACCTCATCTGATGTCTGAGAGACTCTCAGGGAAGAGACATGTGAGGCAGGACAAATGTAACACAGGGTTTAATGTACCACATTCTACTCAGTCAGAAGCTGGTGCTGGACTTGCTTTAACATAAAACTTTAAAGAAAAAAAAATCTTCTGAGTGGTTTTTAGAAGTTAATAATCTTTGGCATCTTAGTCTCACACAAGACAAGGAGCAGCAGAATAAAACATTAGAGTGGCAGTCTCAACTATCCTTTGTAAAGCACAGTCCAGTTAAAAGTACTTTGGATGGCATTCTTTAACTGAGGATATAAAATTGTATCTTCCAACACTGACAAAACGTCGAAATAAATTATAACTCTGTCTAAAGCCAAACATGGAAGAAAAGGAGGCCTTTTGTGAGGACCCAAATAAAACCCGCTCTGTGCGCAGTGGCACAAAAGCATCCCCAGCCTTCAGGTTTCAACAAATCCGTCTTAACAACAACTCCCTCCCTTCCCCGCCTCCCCTTTCTTAATTCTCCCACAGCTGGAAAAATGAGAGCGAGAACCTGGTATTTATCTTCTAGCCTCATCAGCAGTTTCCCCCTCTCATCTCTCAGCAGCCCTTTATTTGTTACTTTCACTCTCGCTTGTGGGCACCTCATGGGCAATGTCAGACCTCAGCACCAGCCTCCTCCATGTGGCTTGTCCTCATCAGACACTGAGATCATCTGGAGTCAACTCAGTGCAGGTAAGACTGTGAGGGCTACTGGCAAAGGTACAGAGAGCGTCTAGATTGTGTAGGCAGCTAAGTACAGAACTGTAGGTATTGCTTCATTTGAATTAGAAGTTATGTATCTGCCTTAAAATATTTTTGGTATGAATAAGTGTTTTCTGGAAAACAGGCTTTAAATTTTGGGAAAAAAAAATGGCTAGACTTCCTTTTGGCAAGCAGTTCATTACTGGACTTCCCTAGGTTCTGTTCTCCATGGGAAGTGCTCTCCCTGAAGATCCCCAGTCCCATCTGTGCCCCCTTCGCTTTGAGGGACTGCGGCTGTATTTCCTCATCACTATAAACATGGAATTAGGAGGTTGTTTTGTCTTTTAAAGCCAGTTACAGTGCTAAACAAGGGGTGGGGGTGTTATTTTTACCTACAGCCAACAATGGCCTATTTCTGGCACAGATTTTTAAGACCTTCTGTCACTGCTTCTGAATTATTCAGGGGAGTAAGTTTCGCAGTTGAGCCCTTCTTCTAGATTATGACTGGGAAGGACTCTGGTTACAAGCAGAAAGGATCTTACATTTTCATAAGTTAAACAAATGCTAACCCAGGTAAGGACTGTGCACAACTCCAAATCCCTTCTAGTTTTCTTTCTCCAACATATCCTGGGTCAGTCACATGTGGTGTGTGCTGAATCAAGATTTAATTCAAACCATTTTTCAGTTCTTAACTTTTCCTATATCTATAATTTATTTGGAGGAGGAAGATTTAAGCTTTCAATTGTTTATGGATTATTTTCATTAAAAACAAAGTTATTTAAAATGATCTACAATGCTAATAAAATTCTGTATCAGATACTACAACTACAATTTGAAGTGTTTAAACTATATGCCCATTTCACAGACATTTTCAGCATAATTAGGGTCTTATGTGGATAACTACATATGCCATGAACCCAACACCGCTTGTGATGCTCACTCAGTAGAACACTATTCTGCAGGTCACTTACGAACCTTTCTCTGAGACAGTAGCATTCTCATCCACTTTGTGCGTTTGCCTGCGTGCATGTGTGTGTGTATCTATGTCTGCATGCATGCAGCATGGAGACAAGAGTGCTATTCGGGTGTGTTCTGGCTCCTGTGTGAAGCCTTTTGTTTACTTATTCTCCTCCTCCCCCAAACCCAATTCTGTTTCTTTCCTTAGCTTTTGTTAACTGGTTCTCAACTGCACAGAATAGTTCCTGATCTGACCATGCACCACCGTTAACCACTGGGATCTTCTAGGAGAACAGAAGCTGAGTAACATCATGGCCTCAGCAGATCTCCAGCTCCTTGCTTTCATCCTGGCTTTATCTGGGGTCTCTGGAGTACTCACTGCCACTCTGCTGCCCAACTGGAAGGTTAACGCAGAGACAGGCTCCAACATTGTAACTGCTATTGTGCAGGTGCATGGGCTGTGGATGGACTGCACGTGGTACAGCACTGGCATGTTCAGTTGTACCGTGAAATACTCCATCCTGTCTCTACCCATCCATGTGCAGACGGCCAGGGCCACCATGGTCCTGGCCTGCGTTCTTTCTGCTTTGGGGATCTGCACTTCTGTAGTAGGAATGAAATGCACTCACTTAGGAGGGGACACACACACCAAGAATCAAATCTCCTTTGCTGGAGGAGTCTGCTTTATGACTGCAGGGATCTCTGGCTTGATCCCAACAGTGTGGTACACCAAGGAGATTATAGCAAACTTTCTAGATCTGACCATTCCGAAAAGCAGCAAGTATGAGCCTGGAGGAGCCATCTACATCGGGTTCATTTCGGCGATGCTACTACTCATCTCTGGTATTATTTTCTGCACTTCTTATATAAAAAAGAACCCCAAACCATGGATCTACCCTCCCAAGAATCAACATACCTCTACCTGGCAGCCAGAGAACAGGTTTACATACAACCTGAAGGATTACGTGTAAAGAGCCGTGCCATGAACATGCAATGAGGCTTCTGGGAGCCTGCTTAAACTTTATTAGAACAAAACACACCCATGCCTAACTTCTTTTACAAAGAGTACAAAATATTAAAAAAAATTATGATGTACCTTACAATGACAACAAACTACCATATACAATTATATCTGTCTTGAATTTCTTTATTTTCCTATTATTATATTCATGTTTTATTTAAAAGAATATAATTGAAAGAGGCCTGACTATATTAATAAGGTGATGGGTGACAGCATTAATTTGCTTTTAAAGCTGTATTTTAGATTACTTTTTTGTAATTATGAAGTATATAAAATAGCTTCCCTTGGTGTTGATCAGGAATATTGTCTAGTTTGCCCTCTGGTGGGCAATGCCTGAGTAGCTGGCTTCTGTTTTCAAGCCACAGGATGTGGAGGAGACTCCAGCAACAGAGACCAGAACGCACGCAGAGGCTGCCCAAGCCATCCACCCCCAGCCCCAGTCTCCATTTTACTTTTTCATATGTGTATAGTATTATAATCTATGCAAACTCAGATTAGATAGAACCAATGCACTGGTAACACTGCTGCAGTACACAAAAGCCAATACAAGCACAAACTAAAATATGGCACTTTTTATGTACAAGCCAACTAAAAAGAGCTCTACCTGCTTTAAATTACCCAAGGACTGCTCTCTCCTCTGCATCTAGAAAACAGATTAAGTTCATTTCTCCAGTCATTTAGATTTACCCCATCCCACTGAATCTCACAGTTAGCACTATTTGACTCGGTTACTATGTTTTTTTGAGACAGAGTGTTAGATAAGCCAGACTGCCTCCTGTGTGCTGGGGCTTAGACACATGTTCCACCATGTTTAGCTTAACTTTTAGCTAAAGTTTAGTACAACTTTTAGGTTGTACTTTTTTCCTCAAATTTTATTCAAATTAACTCTTCAGTTAATAGAAGTAAAATAACTTTTAAAGTATAAAGAATGTTTTTAAGAATACTTATAAATTATGACTTTTGGACTTTTCATAGGTGCAAAGAAACACTGTAGGGTTTCTAGTAATTTATTTGCTAATTTATGCTTACTGATTGCTCATAAAACAACTGCTAAAGGGAAAAAGATTGTGCATTAGTGACTTAGGAAGTGGAAAGAGTGTTTATGTGAATAAATAATTTTCACTGTGTGTACAGAAAAGAGACCAAAATACTTTAATTCTATTAACTGAGTAGATATTCATGCTCTGATATGATAGTTGCAGATAAGTTTTAGATCTTAGAGATCATCTCCTATCAAGTATCTTCAGTGGAACAAATACTACAACAATTCATGCTCATATACTAACATAAATACGTAAATACTTACCTCTGGTTTGGGAACAAAAGCTTTTCCTGGAATTGTAAAGAGGTGTTCAACATTGCAGAGGTACTGGGCCATAATGGAAAGACGACTGCGCTGTTTGCTTCCTGTGGTGGCTACAAGTCTCTACAGAAGGCCAAAAGTAAGCTTTTAGCAAATAGTTAAGCCCATCTGACTCTCATTTTTAAAGGCAAATTATATATATGCTCTCTCTTATATTCTCTCTCTCTCTCTGGCTATCTGAAATAAACCATGTAGACTTATGGAACAAAAATCATTAGCTGAGACATGCTGTAGAAGTGCCAACTGTATAATGTACAAACACTGAAAAAAAAAAACAAACAAATTTCTCTACTAGTGACTGTCAGATTTTCAAGCTGCTATTATATCCTGCAACAGAAAGTCACATGTAAAAAAAAATCAATCAATATTTTCTGAAGAAATTAGCAAATGAACTATAAAGATGGTTTTAAAAGTGACTCCTTAAGCATAATAAAACCTTGAGTATTCAAGAACCTTTGAAACACAGGTTGTTCTTGACAAATTAATGCAAAACTAGGACTTCTCCTTGTAACCACCCACTGATTTTTCAATTGAATTAAACACATAACTGATAAAACTTAATTTGTATGAAAATCCCAACCAGATTTTTTTTAGAAAGAACTTCAATTCCTATATATAACATAAAAATTAAACTTCAGATAAAAATAGTATAGTATATTGTGTGTGTGTGTGTATATATATATATATATATATATATATATATAGAGAATCAAGAATGGCCAAGACACTCCTGAATTACACCAGCAATGCTCATGGGAGACTCATCACCCGACCTGATATCAACATTAAGGCAGTACAAACACAAACAGGCCATTAGGACATGTGGGTATCTGATACCCGAGAGATGTGATTCTCTAAATAGAAGGACAGACCATTCATTAAATGGTATAGGTGTAATTAAGCATTTAGAGGAGAAAAGACAAACTGTAATTGAGTTAATGATGAATTAAAAACAAAATTTAAGTCTTATGCGAGTAATACCCATGGCCCCAAAGTGGAGAAGAATGTCTTAAGTATGCAAATCAGAAGCTACAAAAGATGGATATTAGGCCCGGCAGCGGTGGCACATACCTTTAATCCCAGCATTCGGGAGGCAGAGGCAGGCGGATCTCTGTGAGTTTGAGACCAACCTGGTCTACAAGAGCTAGTTCCAGGACAGCCTCCTAAGCCACAGAGAAACCCTGTCTCAAAATCTCCCTCCCCCCCAAAGATGGATATTTTTCTGTTAAAAATTTCAATCAAAATACTATCAAGACACATCATAGATTAAGAATTTATTTAGATGCCCAAAGCATTAGTGTTCACAATACAAATGAGATGCCTACACACTAGGCCTTAACAACCATAAGATTAAAAAAAACAACCAGAAGACATAAGGCAAATCATGACACCTAAATAAATGATTTATAACCATTAACTAAGTTACACTTATAGAAAAACAGTGACATGTGAATTAAAATCAACAATCTGTAATTTTATACACAAAAGGAATACTATGAAAAGCTAGTTAAGGATGGGAAGAATTAGAAGCTACAGGGATTCTATGCATGGCAGTGAGAGTGGAAAGGGCAGACATTGGTACAGAAGCATGTTGGACAATAATTTGTCAATAAAAGCCGAAGTTTTACAGCATATTACTTAGACAAGAGAAGATATAGACCATTGGTATCATTATACACATTATTCAAAAAGTAGAAAATTATAATTCCACCAACAGGTAAATGGCTAATAATTTTGCCAACAGATATGAAATAACTGTTAAAATGAGTTAACAGGGATTACTGGCATAGATTATACCCCCCTAATAGAGTACAGATTTTAAAGTGGAAAAAACATAAAAACCTTATGATTTCTGTGTGTGCCTACATATATATACACCTACAATACAAACAGGAGATGTATGGGAATGGCAACTACCACTTTTAACACAGTTCCAAACATAGGAAGGAGGGCTCCAAATATATATAGAGCATTTGATATTTTGGTAAAGGTACTGGAAAATATGTTAATATTGGGTAAGACTGAGTGTAGCAGGTTCAAAGATCACTGTGTTCTTGAGCTCTGAGGACATCCCCAAACTCTAGTGAGCTGTTTAGGATCAAGGTCACAAATACTAATAACGAGTAGAAACTCCTGAAGCCAGGCATATGACAGGATGTCCATGCTAGGCTATCGTCAGGGCTTCTAGAGCAGTTGCTGTTGGATTTTCTCTCTCCTATTGCACTGATGTGCATCAACGAATCTAATAGCTCTCTGCCATTTCCTGAAAAAAAATCATATAATTTGGCTTTTTAGAACTTTACCTTAAGTAAGACTAAAACAGACTTTGGGGTGCTGGGGAGAGGGCTCAGTGGTTAAGAGCACTTGCTGGTCTTATAGAGGACCCAGGTTTGATTCTAGCATCCACATGGTAGTTCACAGCCATTCATAATTCTACTATCAGGAGACCCTGGACACTAGGCATGAATGTGTTACACATACATCCGTATAGGCAAAACATTCATACACAGAAAATAAACTGAAATAAAACCAACAGGTTTTGGATGAGAAACTGAGGAATTTCCATGACATGTCTGGAGATTTCACAGCTTCTACTTTGGTATTTCCTATCTTATCCCCCTTCCTACCACCTTTCCAATTTAAGCAACTGCTTATCTGCATTAGGAAAGCAGAAATAATTAGGAAACTGAGCTCAAGATAGAGAGTTGCTATAGCATGTAAGACACAGAAAATTGCTCCTCAGTATAATATGCAAGAGGTGTATATAGTCTCAAATAAATCCTCCAGCCTTAGCCCCTTAAGTGCTTGGATTACAGCACCATCCACTGTGCCCAGTGATAAAAGTACATCTTTAAAACCAAAATCCAGCAAGAATGTAACCATGAAATTTAAAAATTAACCCAAAGAATTGGCCTTCATGGATTTCCTTAAGGCATAGCTAATATGTTACTTTACATTTGAAAGATGTGTTTCCAATGATGAATTCAAAAGAATTTAAAATTACTTTAAAAAGTAAATCTGAAAAGGGTAGAATTATTCTAATTGGACTAAAAGCACAGTTAAATATATTTCACTCTGAGCATGAAGCACTTTGTGCAGTTAGAGAGGGCGTGTTCTAATCCAGATTCTAGATCTATTCAATTTCCATAGCAAGTACACCAGGTTGTGGAGATGAAAATATGAGCCTTAGATTTTAATTTAGTACAAAGCAGCACACAGAACTGCTCAAGTCACAGTCCAGGAAGCCTACAAATACTTTACACTCAAAGCTACTCTGAGAAGTTAATGGCCTACTTAACTATTTAAATATGCACTGTCATTTTTGTTTAGACATAGCATAGGTAAAGCCATGAACACAAAAGTCCATCAATAGATGGTGTGTGTGTGTGTGTGTGTGTGTGTGTGTGTGTGTGTGTTTGAGACAGGGTTTCTCTGTCCTAGAACTCACCCTGTAGATCAGGCTGGTCTTGAACTCACAGAGATCACCTGCCTCTGCCTCCCAAGTGTTGAGATTAAAGGCATGTGCCACTCTGGCCCAGCAATAGATGATTTTTAACAAATAAAAGGCCAGGTCACCAAATGAGTTAATTTTTCAGTAAAAGGAAACCACTAACCCTTAAGTTTTAAAAGTCAGTAAGGATGAGAAATTAAGGCATGGAAGGATTCCTTAAGAACAGTATTTCCAGTACTTTTGTCTGTTTCTGTTATTCATCTAAAATAACTAAGTACAAAAATTATACTTGTACTTGAAGTTACAGCCTAGGACCAGCGACAATGAACATTATGTCATTAACATACTGGTGACATCTTCTGTACTAGGGATGTAACTATGACCAGCCAACATCTCCAGGAAAAAGACAGCAAGAGAGGTTGATGTCTGACCCATTTAAAAATCAACAGGTCCAGCAAAATGGAGAACCTGAACCTCACAGCTCTACCAGAAAACATAATCTGTGTTCAAGATCAAGTTCTATACAACCTGTGAAGACAATGACGTACTCCAAGCCTGTTTTAACTATAAAGAGAGTATAGATGAGATCTGCTAACTCCATTTTCTGAGCTGTAACACCACTTTCATGCCCTTTACTGTGCCCAGGCTGGATCCTTACAATCATATCCTACATATCTTATGTGATTCTGTTTTATAACTTGCAACAAAGTCAAGAATGTACCAGAATATTACACGCAGGATTGTGTTTCAGAGCCAACAGGATATGTAAGTCTTCCCTTGAAACTTTCACCTGCAAACATGTGAAAGTCAGTCAAAAGGACCAGGAACCCATACTTCTAATACATTCCATAAATTACATATATTTGTGTAAAAATTTAACTAAAATAAACCTTTGTGGAAGGAAAATAATTGCCTATGGTGAAGTCAAAACAACGCTATCATGGAAAACTTACAGCTGCCAGCTCAATCACTGAAAACCCGACTCCACTGATGAAGGCTCTGTGACTCTGTTCTTTCCTCGAAGAACTAAGAGAGCTCAGTGCTTTGAATCCCTAGTGCATTGTCCGAGAACAAAAATACCAAATATTCACAGCAGCAAGTAGGAGACGAATATACCAATGTGCTATAACCAAAACTCACTAAACAGTGTCCTCTGCCCTCCTCAGATTGCCTTTATTGCTTCACTCCCATCTGGATTTGGTACTCTGTTACTTAGCCTTAAGCTTTCTCAAACTGGCATATCTATTTCTTCAGTACATGCAAACACAACAGGTATTTGACCAAGTTAATATGTGTCCACTGATCTGACCTGACCTAACCTGACCTGAGGGTTCTTACAAAGGAGTCCCCCTCTGTGCCCCACAGAGCCTGCTGTTGCTGGACACCCCATCATTGTCCTGATATCTCTAATCAGAGCAAAGCTTTCTGCAGAGTACTTCTGATAAGAGGTCAGTGAAGGGCAGATGGTAGTAAGTAAAATAGAACTTACTTTTACTGTATACAAAAATCAGTCCCAAGTGGACTACGGACAGAAAAGTGAACAGAGTTCATGATCAAGACATAAAATGATTTCTTCTGTAAGATGTGAAACAACCATGAATTAAAAGTGAAGAATGTATGATCTTCAAGAAAAGAGATCAGTGTGAAGGTGGTGAATGAGTGGATAATGGGGCATGTCTGAATGTGAACAGCATCAAAGTCCACTATATATGTGTGTAAAGTGTCATAATGAAGGCTCTTATTTTGTGTAATTAAATAGGTTGGTAAAAACAACTTAAAGAAAAAGAAATGTCTAATTCTCAAGACACTGTAAAAAGACAATGACAATATAAGCATAGAGAAAGGCAATCTGCAGCACATTGCACGAGTACAGAGAATATATAGTAACTACACACCAGCAAACAGAAGATGAGCCAATGGAAAGGATAAGGATATCCTTAACTGCAAGGATAAGCAGTTCAATGTAAAACACCCATGTGACCCAAAGAGGCAATGGTACCCCATTTCATTAACACTCAGCAAAGAAAAAAACCCAGCACAACACACCATCATCTCTAGATTAATAATAAAAAAATGTGTAAGTCTAGTAATACCAGGAGCTGGCAAAAATATGGAGTGGAATGAACACTCATGCTCACACTATTGGAAGGAAGGCAGAGGCCTGATGACTTCAGAAAATGTTAAGCATTACCTAATAAGAATGAGGCTTTGGGTACATACGTCTTCCAAAATTTGTCCTGTGCCTAAGAACTTTCATGACAGTTTTGTTCATAAGAGTAAAGCACTGGGTCTCTAATGATGAGACTGGACAGATTTCGACAGTGAAAGAGTGGGCAAGACATAGAGCTATATAAATAAATGCTAACTATGAGCACGTTTGTGAATTCTACCAAGGTGTTTACAATAAGCACACATATTGTATGACTACTTTTAAGTAAAGCTTAAGAGTGGACAAACCTAAAATATATAACATACATGGATACAAATCTATTCATCAAGAGCATGGAAGAGAAAAATCCAGAACTCAGTCCTTATTACCTGGTTACAGGGAGCAGAAAGCAGATTTGCTCAGAGGTGAGGTGAGGGTATACATGTAGATCCTCCCTTGCTAATGATCTTGTAAGCTGCCCTTGTCCACCCTGGAGGTTCACTTTGTAAACTCAGAATACTCAGGCAGTAGGAATGCTGGCAGAGAGAGAGAGAGAGAGAGAGAGAGGGAGGGAGGGAGGGAGGGAGGGAGGGAGGGAGGGAGGGAGGGAGGGAGGGAGGGAGGAGTGTGTGTGTGTGTGTGTTCGAGTGCATGTGCGCGATGGGTAGGGTGAAGGTGGGAGGGATCAAGTGACAGATTTATGTATTGGTTAATGAGATTCTCTTCGATGCCAAACTTATCACATTACCTTTTAACTGCCATCCTAAGAATTGCAGAGCATCAGTTTTAAGGATAGCACAGGCCACTCTCGACATATGAATGTAAAATCAGCACCAGGAGGCTTTTGCCTTCCCCGGGTTTTGTCTACGGCAGTGTAGGCCCTGTGCTCAACACACTGTCCTCTTTGGTTGACAAGTATAAGTCACGGTCTCCACTGGGAGCATCTAGTCGTTGGTTCTGCTATTTTCATTACATGTCTTAACTTTCAGATAGGCCTTTCTGTGTGTAATGGAAAAGTATTAACTTAGAAAACACAGCTAGTGGTAAATACAAAGTAGTATTTGGTTTGGAAATTTGATCATACAATGAAAGATCCAGAAAAAGATAAAACTTACCTCAGCTACTTCCTTTTGAAATGTTAGTGTCATCTTAGTTCTGCCATAAGTGAAAGGTCCATTTTTAAGAGAGACATTTTCAAGCCACTTGATAATCAGTGGTGTTGAAACACTAAAAGGTAGATTTCCAATAATATGTACATTTGGAGGATCTGTTTGGTTGGGAGCAGAGAAGACAATTTGGAATGAGTACACAAATATTCTAAATATGATCTTAATATCTAATTTAAATTTAATTATGAGAATCAAATGAAGCCATATGAAAAGACTCAGTATTTTTTAGTTCTCTTAAAATACTTTTTTCACAATTAGGTTTATATTTATTGAAGATAAAGTTCTAAGAAAGTTCATGAAATGAGGTATTTTGAAGGAAAATACAATTTTCTTTAAACTCAATGACTTTACGGGTTTTGCCAGATCATTAGATCCCCAGGAGGGGGATAAAAACTGAATCTAAAATTTGAATGCTTGAAATACTTAGGCAGGAAATAAAGCCAAAGGAATAGAGTAATCTAGGTAAATCCTTACTAGGAGAAGATGTCACAAAAGAAAAGCTCACAATTAAATAAGATGTGGGTTATAAAACAAAAGCTACAAACAAACAAAACCCTAAACTCTCAAGCCACTGGCAAAGAATAGTTAGATTAAGTTTCCAAACACCGAGGAGAATGGTGGAGCACAATAACCAGGGAAGCCAGTGCCCAGAAGTTGTGAAGGTGATGTATGACACCAAGTAGATGAGCTAGGCAGGTGACTGATCCTAGCATGGCTGGGTCACCTGCAGGCTCTGTTGAGAAGTCAGTGACTATAAACACAAATTACTCTGGAGAAGCCTGACCCTGGGGAGACCAGTCTCACAGGAGTGACTAGGTCTGCTAAAAGCCCTCTTTGACTTATTCTCAGAGTTCCTGCTAGCAATCTATATGCCCTTATTATCTGCATTTCCCAAGAGCTAGACATTACAGGTCCCCAGTAAACACTGTCCTTGAAGGAAGAGTGCCTTGGTTGGTCAGAGTCATTACTGTGAAGGCAAAGGACAAAGAGATAAAGGTCTGTGGGTGGCCTGGTTTACAACATTTGAAAAATAGTTAACAATGCTTGGTACAGCATCATAAAAATATAGTTTATTTGTACAGAAACTACAACTTGAAGATATGAAACAAGGAAATTAGAATGAGGGAAAACACCAGGTATGGCAGTGCATGCCGGTAATGTCAGCACTTGAGAGGCTCATGCAGGAAGGTTCTCAAATTAAAGATCAGCCTGGGCTATATGAAGAATGGCCACCCTTTGCTACAGCATGAGACTCCATCTTAAACAACAACAACAACAACAAAAACAACAAAAAAACAAAAAACAAAAAAACCCAAAAAACAAAACAAAACAAAAAACTTAAGAAAAAATTTAAGAAAAATTAACCAGATTTTGTAAGAAAGTAGGAAAACAAAATTTATAATGCACATTATTTAATTCTGTTCAGGTAGTTTTAGTAGAAGTACATAAAAGCAAGCACTTTATTATAATAGACAGGTGAGCGCTGAAACAAATATCTGTGATATGAACAACCAAAACAAAAACAGACACCCATACACCTGCCACTGCCACTGAAACAACCAATTAACCAACCCACGTCACACCACTGGCACTCACCGTCTTCCCACTGTCGTCTAACATGGTTTGGAAAAGCCTTTTCTATCTTGTAGGTCAGCACATCCCCATGGACAATCCTCAGTCTTCCAGGTGCTGCATCAGAAAGCATCTAGTTTACAAAAGGTCAATAAATGAGCTCAGAGACCTCAGGGGAGCAAAGGTCACAATCCTAACCCTGCACAGCATTTTATCAGTGGGAAAAGCCAACACTCGGTGTGATCACTGGTGAACCAGCAGGATACCATGCCCAGCGAAACCATTGTGTTTCTACTTAATAAGGGCTATGTAGACTAGCAGAGACTAGTGTGATAGCTTCGGATTTAAAAGACAGTGTGTAACAGTCTCATTTGACAGTCAGAATGACTTGTGTTTCTGCATGGTAAGAGTTAACATACTAAGAAAACTTATAGTGAAACACTGAGGATTAAGAGTAAAGTGGATGAAAATGAGCTAATTCAACCAAACCTATATAGTAAATGTACACAAAAGATTCTGCACACACACAAAACTTTTAATGTAATCTTCAAGTACATTCAAACTAAGTAATCTTCAAGTACATTCAAACTAAGTAGACAGTTCCTTGCCATGCCGGGTGACACCTGGCATTTTGAGACACTCCTTGGCACAGCACCCTTTTCCTGAATCACAATACAGCCACCATCAACCTGAGAACAATCCTGCATATTTATACAACAGTTACCTCTCAGCCCATTTCTATTCCCAATAATCCATTTCTTTTTCTCCTTCAGTCTTTCTTAGCGTAAAAAACAACAGTAAGGACCTGGGACTTAGCTCAGTGATAGAATACTTGTAAGAATATTCAAACCTGTGGGTTCCACCCCAGCCCCACCAAACCAAACCAAACCAAACCACAATAGAACCTCTTTTCTTAATCCTCTTACGCTTTTTCTCCTTAATTTAAGGTTCCTTAGCTTAAATGAGCCCCAAGGCCGAGCCACATTGCATGTGAAGTCCCCTTGCCTCCAATACAAAACTCTCTTGATATTCTTGGTCAATTAAAAATCATGCAGTCGGAGACAACCCTGTTCCCACTGTCTCCTCTTTTACAGGCCTCCCCAGCCTTAACACATGGGGAGGTGCTTACTCTTCCTACAACTTGATATGCCATGCTTTGTTGATACTCATGGGCGACCTGCCCTTTCCTAAACAGAAACAGAGGAATGGATTGAGGGGTGGAAGGGGGATTGGGGGAGAGGCAGGGAGAAGAGGAGGGAAGGGAAAACTGCAGCTGGGATGTAAAATACATTCGTTTATTAAAAACAAACAAGCATGCAGTCCCTGAGATTACCATGCTTAAAATGCAGGACAGACAGTGAGAAGCATCATGGCTGAGGCAGACAGTATGCAAAGGGGTGACCTTTACCACACTGCACACAGTCTCAGGTCAGTTGCTCAGAATACCCTGGCTCCAACTCAGTTGCTACTGAGATTTGAGAAATGGCAAAGGGCTATGTATGGCCAACAAGCTCATGGACAACTCTGCATCTTTGCTCTTCTACCCTCATGTCACTAAAGCTGACCCCCCTTCCCTCATTATCACTAAAGCTGACCCCCCCCCAACACTTTGTCCATTCCAAACAATGGATGGGAAGATTGAAAGAGGCCTCGAGGAAGCCAGAGGGAGACTCTAAAGCAAGGCATACAACTTGCTGACTGATTTCCCCTGTTTTATCCTGTGTCAGAGAGGAGACCTGAGCCAGGCTGTAAATTGATTGCTTCTATGTCGCTCACACTGCGCCTTGCCCATAGTTCTTGACAGCATTTGTAACATGCTATGGCAGCCGCACACGTGTGGGTTTCTTTCTCTTGAATAACTGTGTTGCTTAAGGGAAGATCTGTTTCTTGCCTACTTAATAGTGTCCACAGTGATGACATTGCACAGCAGGCCTTTGACATGCATTTAATAAAGCAATCGAGTGTGGACCACTATCGGCCATTCATGAAGCTGGAAACTACTGTAGAAGCTGGCTCTCAACATCTGTGGGGTAGAGGAATTCACAAAGATTTATCTTAGCAATAAATGAGGCAAGATTATACAAACAATAGCTTCAAGTATAGGTGAAATGCCCGTTTGAGTATGGACATTTTAAATTTATGATCAGTTAATTTGATATGGTTAGTCATGATTATTTATCAAAAATAATTGTGTACCTATGACATTAATATACTTAGGAATTAAAGCTACCATAGTTTGATAAAATTTAAATTAGTTTCTTAGAAAACAGTAATTTCAAGATATTAAAAACTGAGAGAGTTCTTATGGGATATTTGATAACTGTATAAACATAGTGAATTTAATGATAACATTAACCAATAATGGAGAAGGCTTTTTTTTTCCTGCAATTATGCTTCACATAATTAAAATAAAACAAATTACCATATCAAAAAAACAAAGAGGCAGAACTAAAAGCTTCTGTTATACAATGTCAATATATAAAAAGTAATTAAGTAATTAGTAATTAGAACTAAAGCAAGGCAGTGTAAACCTGCCTCTCTGGTATTAGTTAAAATGCTCTGATAACTGTGTTTGAAACGTTATTTTTTCCATACTCTCTAGTCTCACACACACAACTGCATACGAAGAGCTGACAAACACAGCAATCCACTTTCCTTTCCTGGTTCAAAGCTGCATTTCTATTCTATTCCTTTTGGACTCTCATTCAGGTTTAACACTCCGTCAAGACACACAAAATCCATCTTGTACAAGGTCAGTTTCCTCCTGGACAGCTGTGTAGCTTCATCTTCTCTTGTCCAACTCCTCATGGCAGGATTATGGGGTGTTGGGAGGGGGTGCCAAACCAACTGAACTGACATTATGATTATGGAAACCACTCCTTTAAATGCCTACAATGACACTCAGCAACAGCACATACAGATTTCCCTACCCAACCAGAGACAATGGAAAAATGTTTTCATCAGATCATGCTATTGTGGGGTGGGAGAAATCCCTAGTACACTTCCAGAATGACCCCAAGCATTTCACTTCAAAACCTGGAGATGCAACAACATGATTGATGGGCTCAGAGCACAGCCTGCCATGCTAGCTAACAGGTGAGTGTCTGTGCTGCCTCTCTCAAGCTGTTGTATTAATGTTAGTTTTCAATATATTCTTCCAAAATGCACTGTGAAATGGCTCTTGAGTAAAAGATGTTCACTAAGGCTTAAAACAGTAGAAAATCAAATCATAAGAAGGAAAAGCATGCATCTAAAAAATGACTGCTGCAAATGTTACCAGAAGAACTGGTAGCTCCTGGCTTGCATAATGGCATATAAAATTCTTACTCCGTGTTAGAAGTAATTATGACAAGTACCCTAGAGGTGAAGCGTTTCTTCCCATGTTAGGTTTTATAAAAGACACACGGAACAATAAAAGAGCTGTGCCTTTACTAAAGGTCAGATACACTCGGAAGCACTCTTTCCTCAGTAGCCAACGCTTGTGTGAAAGCATTGTGCAGGGTGTCTAACTGTGCTTGACCTAGGTGGCTTTTGGCAACTTAATGTGATGAGAAAAGAACTCATGCAATTCTTGGAACTTGGGCAAAATTTAAAATTTCCTGGAGAACAAAAAGAACTATATCAAATAGTTATTTGGTGTGTTTCATGCTACTTCTCTCAGTAAGGGGCTCATAGCAGTCAACACCATATGAGCTAAGCATTAATTACCTTCTTCCTAATTTGCTATATAATAGAGCCCAAATACTGCTGAAATAAATACTAGCAGAAGGGCTAGGCACAACTCTAAAGTAAAGATAAGAATCATTTAAATATGGTAGATGGCAAACAGGAAATTAAAAAATGTAGTTATGAAGAATGTCCAAAACAGACGAAGGCTACTGTCCTAAGGGAACTTAAGTGGATGCTCCAATGCCTTCAAAGTTGGTGCTTGCTCTTAAACAGGGCAGAGAAATGACAGTAGAAGCTTGTTTGCCAGCCCCATCATGGACTCAAGGATACATGTGATTAAGTAAATTTCCTTACACAGAGTTCACACCTTCATGTGTCAGCTGATAAAAAAAGATAACTATGACTCCAATGGTATGGAAGAGAAAGGCAAAGCTAAAACATTTTCAATAGTAAGCTGGAGGTCAAAGGTTAGCACATCTCAGGTCTGCAAGCCAGTCTCTTTGATTTTTCAAACCCATGAACTTTCTGCCATACTCATTACAAAAAGCCTGATACAACACTAAAATAGTCGATTTCCTTTGTGGCTTTAAAATTCCAGTAAGCAAGCATATAACCTATTGAGAAAACCCTTGTGCTTCCTACACTAAAATGGAGCATGAGACACCACACATGCTCTCCTTCCTTAGACCCTACCCACACAAAAAGCATTTCTAGCCATTTATGTGTGTTTTACATATGAAACATTTACTAAGGCTGTGTTTATGCCATAAAGTCAATTTGAATAAATTCGCTATGATATGCTATACAAGTATGTTTTCTGAACATAAAGGAAAATAATACAAAGACATATGGACAAAGAGGCAAATTAAATGACAAATTTCTAAACAGCCCACAAGCCAAATACAAATCAAAAGGAAAACAGAGATTAAGTGGAAATGAAATGTCTCTTTAACTTTAGGATCTCAAAATTAGCTATAAAACAAAGTTCCCAGTGGTCAACTCTTCATAAATATTAGCTATTATAGTTGTTAATGGGTGAAACAGAAAAGGAAATTACTTTTAATGGAATTAAAGAAAAAAATGACATTTCAAAATTTGTGGTTTTTCTGACAAAGAAGAAATGCATAGCACTAATCTATAAACCAGAAAAACCTTCAAGTTAATGATTCAGCTACCACCTTATAATAGCTATAGAAAAAGCAGAACAAATTAAACCCAAGGTAAACAGAAAACGAGAGATTTCAGAACAGATGTCAACCACACTGAAAACAGAAAATTCAATGAAAAGCTGTATTTTAGAGATCAATAAAGTCAACTAATCTATAATCAGATCAATCAGAAAAAAGCAGGTATACATAAATGACCCATACCATAAAAAAGAGAGGTGGCATTAGTATGGTCGGGCTAATGTTTAAAAAAAAAAAAGTCAATACAATTCACCACATTAACAGATTCAAAAAGAAAAGCATTTTAATAAACCTAGATAAAGCATTTTTGTGCAAATCCAGTATTCTTGATTGCAAAAAGGAAAACAGCATCCCTTAGCAAGCTACAAGCAGAGGAGACCTCCCTCAGATGGGGAAGGAGACCTAGAAAAAGCCCAACATCACAGCAGTCAAGGTTGAACGTTCTCCTGTGTTGATATTTTGATTATGATTTGATAAAGCTTGCCTGGAGAGCAGAATGCAAAGCTAGCCACCGCAATAGAGGCCAGGCAGTGGTGGCACACACCGTAATCCCAGCAGCCACACAAAGTAAACTGGGTGGTGGTGGTGAGTGCTTTTAGATCCAGCACCAGAGCTCAGGGTCTCATTCTGTATTCAGTCTGCAGTCTCAGTGAGTCTGAGCAGCAGGGCAATCAGGAGCAGGTGTGAGGTTCAGTGGATCACCGTTTTGGCCTGAGCTCTGGTAGAGGTGAGAACTCTCTAGTGGTCCGCTGCTTTTCTTTTCTGATCTTCAGCTTGAACCCCAATATCTGTCTCTGGGTTTTTTTCCCCATTCATTTATTTAGCTCATAAATAAAGTCATGCACAATTATGATACATAATACAGTATGTTCACAATGGCATGGCTAAATTAAACCAATTAACATGTTATATCACACATATTCATCATTTTTGTTTTGAGAACACTTGAAGTTTAAAGTCAAACAACCTTTAAAATATAGCATATTGTTATCAACCATATTTATCATGCTCTCAGTCTGTCTCTGGGTTTTTATTATTCATGCTACATTCTCTGGAGTCAGAGATGAGGCCAGAGTGTGCACCCTGACTACTCCTGGTCAACTTTGTACTGGTGTTCCTAGTCACTGACAAAGAAGACATACACGCAAAGGGATTGATTAGAATGGAGGAGGCAGAACTGTTTTTATTTAATGAAATGGTGGTAGATACATAAAATAAAGGAATCTACAAAAGGAATCTACAAAGCCAACGCCAATAAATGAATTTAGTAAAGTTCCAGGACACAAAGTCAGCATCTAAGAAGTCAATGGCAACGCCCAACTACAAAGTAAAAACTAGAATCCGGTACAAGAGCAGAGAAATGCACGAAATTTTTAAGGGTAAATCTGGTGTGTGCAAAATCTGCACACTAAGAAGTATAAAACAGTGTCAAGAGAAAATATAAATTTATATACAATGTTCATAGGCCAGGAGGTTTTTATCATTAGTGAATTCCCACCCAAACTAATTTTTAGTTTCAACTTAATCTCAATCAAAAAACAGAGCACACAACCAGTGGAAAAGAACTGAATTCCAATCTCAGATTCAAGGGGACAATTCTAAAGCAGAAAGATGAACTCAACATACAGTGCAAAAAGGCACGCAGGGCATCAAGAGAAAGAGAGCAAGAGAGGAGAGAGAACAATATGAATCTGAACCTCTGAGCCTTGACCTTGCCCCAACAGACAAAAACTGAGTCAAAATGAACAGATATCTAAAGTAAAAAGCTAAAACAGTTAAAAACAACAAACAACAACAACAAATACAGGAAATTTTTGTTTGTTTACAGCCCTGGCTGTCCTGGAACTCACTCTGTAGAACAGGTTGGCCTTAACTCCAAGATCCGCCTGCCTCTGCCTCCCCAGTGCTGGGATTAAAGGACACCACCTCCTCGATCATTTTTTTTTTTTTTTAAGTTCTAAATATATGACACAAATATTCTAAAAATATGACACAAAATCGTATTTAAAAGAGAAAGCTGACAAATTTCGTACTTGGTAAAAGTTGAACTTCTTTTCAAGAGATACTGTTGAGGAAATGGGAAAAGAAGCCCCAGCTGAGACAATGTCAGCATAGCATGTGCCTCAACCACATAAAGAGCTCTCAAAATTGAGACAGATGGACTGCCACGAAAAATAGCAAACATTTCTAAATAATTCCTCGAGTAAGCATAGGTGACAAGTAAGGACACCATACCCATTCAATCAGTCATTAGGGAAAAGATAGCAAACCCTCAAGACACTACTACATACAAATCATGAGGGCTAAAACAAAGACAAAACACCAAAAGCTTACTATACCAGTGTGTGCAAACATGTACAGCAACTACAACCCCCATACATACAACGCAGAAAGGACATTACATGCGTCACCTGGTGCTCCCCTCCCCCCACAGCTGCCTCATGATGCTGGAACAACCAAATCAAGCTACAAATGACATTCTTTCAACCAAAAGATATTTTATAAATTATTACACTTTCTTTAAAAAGTAATTCTATTAGCTTAGAAATCACTAAAATGGAACCCTTAAAATAGATCATTCTATTTCTGCTTTTACGCAATTTTATGATTAATTTAGGACGCCTAATAGAGCATAGCTGTACATATTGAAACATTTGTTACAGGAAAAAGAAGCCTATTTGATAATTTAGTACCTATCATTTCTTTTTAAGGCAGATTCCTTTCCCGCAAAGAAGACACTAAGAATTCATTTTGCTGCTTGTGAAATGGGTAAGAAACCAAATGTACATTTCCTGTGATTTATCTTGAATTTGCTTTGATATAAAAAATACAAAACTTAATAATCAATGTTACTATTTACTTTTACTGTCCAATGACACATTTAGTCAGCTGCTCTGATACATACCCAACAGTCAAAGATGGAGACACTACTTTGTAGCACTGTAATATGTGGTAGAGATACAGAGGAATGAAAAAAATCAGATCTTTATCCTTGTACCACTTAGGTTGTAAAGGGGCAAGACTGACAAAGAAACAACAGCAATACAGATACAGTGTGGCCAGCGATGATAAATCTAACAAAACAAGGTAGAGAGTAAGGAAGCAGGGACTCCAGGGATAAGAAAAGGGTGGTGGCTGCCCTTTTAATAGTGGTCTTCTGACATCTTTAATGGAACAGAGGAGAATATGTAAATTAATGTGGGAATTAACACAGATTTTATTCACCCTGATTAATGGGAAAGATGCATATCACAGGTGGGGGAAATATGATGGTTAAAAAGCCCACTAAAGGCTACAAGAAAAAAAGCAAAACAAAAACAAAAGACACACAAAGCACAACACAGCAGTTACCAGGTTTTTTTTTTTTTTTTGTCATTACATAAATACCCAAAACAATATTCCTACTTCCACTGCTAGTGGGATATGGTTCTTAAAGCAAACAAAGTAAAATCCTACACTACTAAATTTCACATAAGGTCCAGGAACATTTATCATGTATCACTCCCAAAATTAAGTCTGAAATGAATTCTTACAGGCAAAACTAGATACAAATCAATAATATGTAGTTATTTAACACATGAAAACCAGATGAAGCCAGATGAGAAAAATAAAATCACTAGTTTTCTAAAGAAGTGCCCACAAAATGCTGTGGAATAATCCTTCTGTAAACTGTAAGTATGTGTTGCTGTCATTGTTAATAAAAAGCTGATTGGCCAATGGATAGGCAGGATTTTTGGGGGGCAGAGAGAATGCTGGGGAGAAGGAGGGCAGAGTCAGAGAAGTCCCCACCCAGATATTGAGAGGAAACAGGAGGTACAAGATGAAAGAGAATGTGGATTAATACAAATGGGTAAAGTTCTAAGAGTTAGCTAGTAAGAAGCCTCAGCTATTGGCCAAGCATTTATAATTAATAAGAAGTTCCTGTGTGCTTATTTGGGAGCAACTGTTGGGACAGAAACTCCTAGATTTAAAAACAAGATTTCTCCAACTATTCTAGCATATACAAGTATTTGCATATACTGTTTTTAAACCTTTTTTTTTTTTTTTTAAAGTGGTAGATTAGCGGATAATTTTACTGTTCTGTTATAGTCACATAATAAATGCTATTCACATGGGTCTAAAGCTCAGGGCTCTTCTAAAGTTTAGAATTACAGGAATCAAACAAAGCCTTCCAGCCATCAAGTGCCTCTTAGGAGGAATTTCTTTGCAAGATCCCTGATAGAATCTGTCCCACCGTTTGCCCATGCTTTAAAAACTCATCTTCTCCTTCATTTCAAGCCCTCAAACCTGCTCCCTTGAATTTCCACTTGTCTCATTTTTTTTTTTCTACAATAATCAAAACAGGCTTATTCTCCACTGCCAGCCTGAGATAGGCAGAGTGAAGATACTCACTCTTGGTTCTCACAATTCAGGTAAAACATCTCCAGCTCTTCATTTTCCCCCCCACCTGTAACAGCACCTGTGTGTCTGAAAAATCTCACTCAAACCTCTTATGGTTCTAAGTGATGCAACTTCTTTCTTTATACATAAAAATTCTCTTGTAAAACTGCTTAAACTCAACAACTATACTCAACTTGATGAGGCTCTAGCATGTATCTTCTTCATCTTTTATGTGTGGAAATGCTTTTTGGAACCTAAAGCAAATTCTCCTAAGTCATACCAATTGGCCATTATTGACAATTATTTATTTTTATGTCTTTCTATAGAACTGGGCCATAATATGCGTAGCTTAGAAATAAAGTCATAGAAATGATTATTTATCATCCGTGTGTAAAGTGCTTTTATTCAAACTGTGAGCAACAGACTATTTGAGTGTTCCTGTATACAACACGGTTTTCTAGACTTCCTGGATGACAGAACCCTACCTCTGGGACAGGACCTGGAGAGCTGCAGCTTGAGAACTGCCTGCATAGTCCTTGGTCAACATGGGAACTTTAGAATCATGGCCTAAGATTTGATTCAGTTTTTGCTTGCTAAGAAAGACACTTTAAGTTATCTCACCTGTAATCCTGGAATAAATCTAGTGTCCTTTTCAACCACCAGAAGTTCGGCAATATTGGCATTGAGAATGGATCGGGTGATTCCCCCAGGCCCGGGACCCACTTCGTAAACATAGACACCTGCTAGATTGCCGGCTTTCCTTACAATTTTGTCTAAAAAATAATAATAATCAAGTGTTAGCTACCTTTATTATCATAGCAAATTTCCTAAGAATTATCAACAGTTGCTATTGATTACCTCTTACTCAACACCAACATGTAACCATCATTAATATTCTACATCACTGTATCAGACCAGTTTCTTTAACAAACAGGATTATTCTGCCAATTTCCTTAACTTAAATTTAACTAATATTGCATTTTCTGTTTACCTGCCTGACCAACCGGTTCCTAAGAATTGGCTAGAGGAGCATGCAGCATTATAGCCCTTGAACATCAAATATCCGATTGCTTTCACATTCATCCTTCCATTCTCACAGGTAAAAACCCAAAGGGAGAATGCTGAAGTCCCTTTTCTCCCCTGTAGTTATTTGGAGGTCGGAGTGACAATCACAGTCAATTTCTACTAGACTGTGAAATTTAAACTCTTGATCATTTCCAGAAAAAAGGTTTGGACTGACTACTTGAAATTTTAAGCTCTGCAAATATACATGTTAAAAAGGATTTACTAATTCTTCAGTTAGTTTAAGTTAGCAGAACCTAAGAAATCACACAAAAAAAGTGGACTAGTGGTTCACTGCAACTAACCACTCTGGAAAAACACCAATGGGCTAGTCTTAGTGACTGCAAGATATTAAAATGTATTCACCTGGACCTCCCTGGACAGTGGAAATTTTACTACTGGAAACACACTAGCATTTCTTGGCACTGTATATATGGACACTGTGCAGTCCCAGTTGATGGTTACTGACTATCAACTTAGGTAAACTTAAAGGCAAAATGTTGCCTACCCATTCCCAGATAATAGGTAGAAAGGGAATCAACACTCCCACCCCCAACCAGCTATCTGTTTTGGGTGACGTAAGTACATTCTCTTACCATTCTAATTCATCTGAACTATACATTGAATGTCATGAAGAAAAGCAAATGGCAGAGAGGAGTTCCACCCTAGGTGTGGGCTCCAAAACCAATTCATTGTTTTGTTACAGGTTCCCAATTGGTCTCTCGGGTGGAACAAGAATGATGTATCAAGCAGGAGAATTATGGACTTAAATATTGCCAGTAACAGGTGGGGCAGAGGTTCCATTCCTACGCTTGGCAGGAACACTCACATACAACCAGATACCAAAGACAGCAGCGTCAAGCCCTGAAGTCTGAGTTTCAGTCTCGCTCCACCTGAGTTCACCAGGATAAGTACACTTCCTTACACCTTGGTTCCCACAAAAGAGTGGATAAAGGACCTAAGAATCTGGAACTTACTCACGGGATGCACACAGCAGAATGTAAATGAAAAATTAAATGGCTGGGGATGTAATTCATTTGACAGAGTGCTTGTCTAGCATTCCTGAAGTCCCAGGATACATACTGAGCAACCATTTACTGAGCATGGTGGCAAATCCTTAAATGTTAAGCACTTGGGAGATGAGGGCTGGAGGATCAGAAATTGAGTGTCACTTGTTGCACAATGAGTTCGAGGCCAGCCTTAGACACAGGAAACTGTCTTTAGAAAAAGTAAACTCTTTCAGCAAAGAATGTTGCTTTCTTTAGTATTTGCTAATGGCTGGGAGGGGATAGTATTAGCTATTGCTGGAACCAAAGAATCTAAAGGTAGGTGATCTTAAGGTCCTTGTAGGCCTTTCTATCGAATAAAAGATGAGAAATCTTAAGTGGGCTAACTGTTTTACAGTATAATGGCTCCAAGTTCAAGAAACAAATTACTAATTTATGCTTTGTGGTACATTCGTTATGTAATCAAACTTTTTTTCTTTTGGTGGGGGTGTCTCCTTTAACATAGGGAGAGGGGCTGAAACTCCAGCAGTCAACTAGTGTCCTTATTTGCAACAGATGGGCCTTATTGTCACAATCTCATCACTGGAAAGCATCGCTAAACACGTGGGTAGTAAGTAAATTAACAAACACCTGTGAAAACTCACCAAAACTTGGGTGACCTTCACCCTATATATATGTTTTACCGCAGAAAAGTAACTTTTAAAGTGGCATGAGGAGTCACAGCGCTGGCACAAGGTAGCTGTTGGCTTTGCTTGGCATGCATTTGCAGAGCGAGCATCCATTCCCTAGCGGGGCTCTTGGGACTGAAGAAGTGAACATTCATCCTATTGACTTACTATTTTGGATTCGGTTTTGAAATAGGGTCTCTCTGTCTTTAACTGGCGGCCATCCTCCTGCCTCTGCTCCTCGAGTGCTGAGATTACAGGAGCAAGTTACCGCGCCAGATCGGGAACTGGTAAAGAGTAAAACTGCACTCATTTAAATTCCGCGCATAATAAAGCGCCCGGGAAGCAACTCCGGCCGGCAGAGCCGTGCACCACGGAGCGTGCCTTCGGCCTGAGGCTTCAGGTCCTGCTCGCCGGCTCCAGCAGCACCGTGCTCCGAGAGGACGCACAAGCGCTTGACTGACAGCCGCCCGCCACCCAGCCCGGCTCCATCACCCACCCGCGCCCCACGGGGACACCAGGGTCAACGGACGATTCAGCCACCTGTCAGCCTCAAGTCCAGGAGGAAATTCTGGGAGAGCTGCTTCACCGCCCGCAGTCCGAACAACTTAATGATCTCTCGAATGGTGGGCA